TCTTTACGGACAACATCATCCCAAGCCTAGGTTTAAAAAATAAAAGTAAGAAAGATGTTCTTGTTGTGTTCCTTCATGTTGTTTCCAACTCCTTTTCTATTTTTTGCTAAAATCCGGACAAACTGCAATAGCACAAACTAGCACAATGGAGGTATAGAAACTGCATGTCTGATGCTTTGTGCAACATCTTCTTTAGCAACAAAATACCCCAAGTGAACACCAGTTACTGAACCATGAATTCTTCTTAACTCCTCTTCCTTGTTTTTAGATTCAAAAGTAACATCAGCACCTATATTTCAGGTAGAATTGTAATAATATGAATGAGTGTTGTAATATTTTCCCAACAGAAATGAATGGTGTGCTTGTCATTAAGTTTGCAAAATCAAACACAACAGAATGGAGTAAATTAGTAGAAATATTTTTGCAAACAATTTGGCTTGATTCAAATGAGACATTAAACCATGGTTTGTGCCAGGTCTGATTTAGATTACAAACCATAATGTGTTCTACACAAAGAAACAAACTGTGGCTTGGATGACTTCCCTCTTTGCTGACAATTCAAGTACTTTCTCAAAGTTCCTATTCCCAGGGCAGAGAAATAACCCAAACCACAGTGGGTTTGTTGAGATGCCAATGAGAAACCACAGCTGCAAATTACAGACTCAGGTCCATATTTGCATCTCTTCAAGTGGCAATTTCTGCAACAGAACAAACCAAAGTTTGGTGTGAATTCTGAACCTCACTTCAGTCATGACTATTCAAACATTTGAATGAAGCAATGCTGAGGACCTTTGAGGACACCAGACTTCACAAAAGCAAGACAACAGCGACACAGAAGCAAAATACCATATTTAGGTTATATTCATGGTATTTATGTTCTTTTTCTGGTCTGTGTGTTTAATATAGGTTCCTTTTCCTGTCCTCCCAGAAACAGCATGAGAGACATGAAATCTGTCTTATTAACCTGATCTTTTATCCGTCTCTTGATAATCTCTTCAAGCTCAAGAGTTGTTTCTTCTGTGATCATTGGAGCTGAAAATACAAAAAATAAGAACCACAGGTAGTTCAGGATGTCATTTTATGAAATGCATTTTAAGTAATTCAAGAAAGGAAAGGAAAGACAACAGATACCCCTTTGTTTTTCATGTGCTTGTACAGAAATTGTCTGCTAGCTTAATCACCACTCTTTAAAAAGAATTGTTAAAAGAAAGTAAGTAATTGTGGCAGGCTAGGTTGCCATGTAAGCCACCACACAAACTATTCCTGTGTGGAAATATTCTTTTTAAAATGCTTCCAAACACGCTCTAGGATGCATTGGTGTATTTCTGCCATGTTTTTAGGCCAAGGCGAGGTCTTTTTAACAGGAAGTGACCAAACGTGACTACATTTTCACTTCATATTTTAAAAAAAGCATCACCTGATCCAAAATGGTCACCCAATATATGTCAAAAATGGGCATTTAGAGATGTCTGGGTGTTTGTTTTTTTTAAAATTGAGGCGACTGCCCTTTTTTTACTCCTTGGGGCCTGGAAGCCATAAAAATGGCACTAGAGGGCCACAGTTTGCCCATCTCTGTTTTACAATACATTTCTACAAGTACAAGGCTTACCCATTTTGACAGCGTGGTCAAAAAGAAGCATTTCTTCCAGAAGGCTGTTCTCTGGCCGTTTCTGCCCTGTCACTTCGCCTTTTAGCTGCCAAGGCTTCTCCATCAACAGCTCTTCTTCTAACTTCTTAATCTTCTCACTCAACTGCCAGAGAAAAAATTCTCACCAATTAATACTTAAGAAACTTTTTTCTTTTCATAAGCCTTCTTCATTTCCTGAGCTTTCTTAACCAAACAACACACACACACACTAAGTAGGGGTACAAATTGGCATGCAGGCTAAATTTTACCTTTTCCTGTCTCTTCTCAAAGGATGATTTCATTTCAGGGGCTTTGTTTGCCTTCCCCTGGGATGTGTCCGCATCTTCTTCCCCGTTACTGTCGTACGGCAAGCTGAATGTCACTTTCTTAGAAGTTTCCTTGCTTTTATCATTCTCTGCCTGTTTGATTTTATCCTCTTCTTCCTCCATTCTGTATTTAAACAACACAATTCGTCAAAGGGATATCATGCTGTTAATGTAGCATGCTTCAATTGAGCACTAGTTTCACCCTAAAGTCCTTCAAAACATGCATAAGTTCCAGCCTGCTAGGGCACTACACAGTATGCCCTCGAGAAACCATGCATTCCAAAATACAACCTTAACTTTGTATACCTTTGCTACCTTCTTGCTGGCTATGAGTTTATATGGGGGCCATTTCCCATGTTCTTTGGGACTAATGCATTTCAAAGTGAATCACTGAGAACAAAAAATGCCATACCTCTGTTAAGAAATATACAACTCTTCCTATAGGTTAGCTCTCTGGATGGAGGAAAAATGCTATCTTGTCAGGCAGGGTCTCTCAAACTGACTGATGTAGTGGGCCAGCTTTTTTCCTCCATTGTCCCAGGAACTGGTACCTTATCTATGCCATATTATTATCCTATTTGCAGTTTCCTGGAAACCAGCAGGCCAGCAGATGATGGTTCACAGACTGGGATCAGTCTCTGGACCAACACAGCTTATATGCAGACCAATGAAGCTTATAAATAGGAATCAGAAAATATAGAAAAGGAATGGGAAGCGATCACAAACTACTGCAAAGAAATATGGAAATGACAAAAGATAAAACTAAACTTAATTTAGACTTAGCCTAACAAGGCTCCTTTCTTTATTTTCAAAACCTAATAATGTTAGTGTTATATATACTGAAGATAGCATTAAAATGGCAGTTAAAAGAAGTAGAAATAATTTATTAAAAAAATCAGTCACAAGAGCAAATGTTACCAGGGAAGGTCACTTAGAAGTTAAGAAAATACACTGAACTCTAAATATTTTGACTGCAAGGAAGGTAATATTCTGACCAATACTTTCAGTAACACTAAAGAAAGGCACTGCATATATATTTTTGTTACAGAAGAAAGTAGTATCTACTGGGGCCGGGGGGTGCTTGAGGTGTAATCTATGCACCTACAAGGGAGAAAGCATCAGTGAGTACAATGGGACCTACTTCCAAGTAAACATATCCAATTGAGCTCTCAATTTCCATTTTATTATCCACAACTTTTCAACAATGACTGCAAAAAGCAATATGACCTATATATTAATCACATACTCGTCAACAGCTTCTTCTTCATCATCATCATCATCATCTTCTTCTTCTTCTTCTTCTTCTTCATCTTCATCATCTTTCACTCCTTCAGTCTGGTCATTTTCCCCATCCTTGTGTTCACTCTTGAAACCTTCGTCATCATCCACAGGATCAAAATAATCTTGATATTTCAGATCACGAGCACTTTTAGGCAGCTGGGTGAAGAAAATGGAAGGAGAAACCCACAGCTTATGAAGGGATGGAAGTACACTCAAGCCTGTGAAAGTTCATGTGGCAACTTCTTTCTTTCAGTTAGTTTCAAAGGTGCTACAAGATCTCTTTGCATACTGATTTCACAGACTAACACAGCTATATACATTCATTTATATCCTGCCTTTCTCCAATAATGGGACACATGACATCTAACAACTTCAATAAAAGTACAGGGTGATTCAAAAAGAATGATGCAAAAGTAAAGTTGGTCTTATTTGACTTTGCATCATTTTTTTGAATCACCCTGTATAAATATAAAAATTACTTACAATTTATAAAATTAAAATTAACCAAAAATCAAAAGATTCATACAAACTATCAAACAGAACAAGCCTACCTCATTCAATTTCTAAAAACCTGGGGGCACAATAATGTTTTCATCTGCCACCAAGAGAGCAAGAAGGGCACAGAGATTCGGCCAAAACAATCAGTATGATTCAATGCCAATGCAAGCTTACAGAATTACGCAGCGACAACACGTTCTCATCATTCCCCCCCCCCTTTTTTCCCTCCAAATTCCCCATGGATACAGGCGCACATCCCCAGAGATGAGTCCTGCGTCTGTAACAGCTGAAAAACAGGTTGCTACAAGAAAACGCATCACCGCCAGCTGGATTCATAAAAGGTTCAGCTGTTCTTCATTTAACCTGCTCTCTGCAGCAAATAGCAGAAATTGTACGATGCCCTTTTGCAATGAACGAACCCACCCCAAAGAGTTAGTTCCACCCGAACTGCCTCCGGAGATCTGTTTTGGAAAAGAAGGCATGACAGAAACATACAAAGGCAGAGAAGATTGATCTCTAAGATCAGTGTTTCTCAGACTATCTGATGTGGAGGACTGGCAATTATTTTTCCCCAATAAGCCAGGGACTGGTACTATATCCGTGCCCATGGTGTACAGTTGTTTCTTTCTTTCTTGGGAATTCTCTGTGGACCAGCACCAAACTGGGAGCCAGTGCTTTGAGTAGTGCAGCTTTAGAGGGTGCCCTGAAAGCACATGTGAATCCAGCTGCACTCTCAACACAGATTCTGGGTGTACCTACACTGTAGAAATAATGCAGTTTGCCACCATTTTAACTGCCAAGACTTCATCCTACGGAATCCTGAGATTTGTAGGTTTGTGAGGTACCCGCAATCTTTTGGCAAAGAACAGTAAAGACCTTATAAATCTACAAATTCCACAGGATGGAACTACAGCACTTTGTAGAACCTGTAGGGAATTTGTAGGACCACAGGGAAGAGGAAAAACTACAGCACTCCAACTGCATTATTTCTACAATGTAGATCAGTGGTTTCCAAAATTTGGTCCTCCTGATGTTTTTGACTTCAGCTCCCAGAATTCCTGACTTGACCAAGCTGTCTGGGGTTTCTGGGAGCTGAAGTTTGAAACTCTTGGAGGAACAAAGTTTGGGAATCCCTGGTGTAGATGTACTCTGTTCCATGGGTTGATCTGACAATAGAATTTCCAACAAAATTCTATTTGGGTTTCCAAACAGGGTTTGGCTTTGGCTGTTGTGCTAATGCTAATGTGATTTGCCCAAGGTGTGTTTCACGGCCAAGCTGGGGATCGAACCCTGGTCTCCAGAGTCCTAGTCCAACACTCAAACTACTATGCCATATATCCCTTCAAATATTTAAACATATAACCCCTTAATCTTCTATTTTCCAGGATAAACATACTGAAGTCCCTAAGCTGCTCCTCATAGGGCAGTGGTTCCCAAACTGTGGTTCTCCAGCTGTTTTGAACTTCAGTTCCCTGAAGCCTCGGCCATCTTGGCCAATGGTCAGGGATTTTGGAAGCTGAAGTCCAAAACACTTAGAAGAACAGAGTTTGGGACTCACTGTCATATGGCATAAAGCACACATTGCCCTGCAGTATAGCTGGTGTGTTGGTTTTTTTTTAAAGCTTCTTTATACTCATTCTCAAAACCTCTGAAACTACATGAGTTATTTTTAAGTTTGCAAACTTAACAATATTTTACCCAAACACTTCTGGGTACCATTACCTTCATGGTGGCTTTCCCAAATTCTTCTTCACTGTCATCATCACCTTCAGAAAGAATATCCTCAAAATAATCTATTTCGTCTTCATCATCCTCATCCTCACCGCCATCATCTTTTTTCTCTTTGTTTTCTTTTTTCTCCGCTGCATCCAAAGCAGCCTCCATCTCGTAGAGTTTGAAGAACCTATCATCCACTATGGATTTTTCTCCAGCTTTTTTGACAGCCTTCTTCAAACACCTTCGGGTCTGCTGTTCTAATTTATCAATGTCGAAGTCCATGTCCGAATCCTCATCGCTAAACGGAGGGGATTCTGTCTCGTTCAGTCTATTTTTCTTTTCTGCATCCTTGCTGTCCTCTTGAAGGTGACCGTTGTGGATCTCTGGTTCTTCTTCTAGATGGTCCTCAGTTTCCATTTGGTCCTCAGTGTCTCCTGCAATAGATTCTTCCTCTTCTTCTTCCTCTTCCTCTTCCTCCAAGGATGGAAGAAGGGAAAGATCAGCCTCCTCCTTCACAGTCCTTGCAACGGCTTTCTTGAAGTAGCCCAGAACCGCATTATTCTGGAGTTCCAGCTGTTGCCAGATTTGTTCCTCATCGAAGTTCTCTACTATCATTTCCTTTAAAGGACCTCCAGAAATAAGGTCTGACCCAAGAGCCTTGTGGAAATCGTATAAGGTTTTGGTCAGGGAGATGAATTCACCAGCCAGGCCATCTTGAACGCTGCAATCAATTGTAGAAAGTTAAGCATTTTAAGTCTTAAAATATACATCTTCAGCTGCATCCACACTGCAGAATTAATCCAGTTTGAGACCGCTTTAACTGCTATGGCTCAATGCTAGGGATTTCTGGGATATCTGGTTTTGTGAGCTATTTCACCATCTCTGTCATCTGGGGCCACAACAAAATACAAATT